TATGGATATGAAACTACGTAAATTCTACATTTTCTGCTTTAAGGGGATTTTTATTTTCAAAATAAAATTGTAATTTTGAAGGATGTTTTTGTAGTAGCATCATGAAAAAACAATGATGATTTGATACTATTATCGTATTCTGGGAATTTGATTTTTTTGTTCATTTTTCTCAGACTTCAAATCTCGTTTAAGCTACCTTCATTTGTTGAGGTATACGTTACACTGAGGAGCTTCTCTTCTTTCAACTAGTATAGTATGTGGTGGTAGTCCTGCTTCGGGAGGCAATCTACTGGAACCCAGAATTGCAAGGTTTGAGATGTCCTCCCCTCCCCTTTTCCCTCCCTTCTCTGTCGACCACCCCTTTCACTTGGGTGGCTTCAAGTTCAAAGTACCCCTGCACTTTTGTGTCGGATTTGATTTTGCTGTTGTGGACAACAACTGAGCTTCAATAAGAAGGTTTATCTAAATGCATTATAAATTGAAAGTACGAAAATCTGCGGCAATTTACAACGAGAAACCTCTTGCGTTCAACTCAAAAATTCTTTAATTATGAGAAGTATATTGCTAAGTGTCATTCGTATACCTAAATCCCCAGATAACAGGAGCATCTGAGTGGCATATCATTTTGTTCTAGATACCCCAATACTCCATATTACTTCTTTCAAAAACGATGTTTTGGATGCAGCTGAAAAGAACAACATTACAAAGCGTTAGGCGTTAAAAATTTGTAGATTCACTCAATAAAAAAACAGGGAAAGGTGAGGTGAGGTACAAATCGGTGGTCAATACGAGCTGCTTGGCTAAGTTAAACTCAATTTCAAATGAAAAGCAGCTAATCGATGGCTACGAAAACTTGGGCAAGATAAGATAAGTAAAAACTGAGTGGCCCGCGTGTTTACCACACTCGCTGACGTGAATATCCTTCCGAACATCAGAGCAACGTTTTCTGTTCTGCTTCCCAACAACTGACCTCTATAAGATTTAAGTCCACAGCCTTAGCTTACGCACAAACTAGGCTGAGATGGATATCGACATCCCTCGCAAGAATTGAGGACTGATAGTTATTAATTCATGAATAAGCTGGAGTTGTGAAGTGGTGGAATGGTTATGATAAGAAAGGGAGGGTATTAAGTGGTTTTGAAAAATGATGCGGTCATTTGAGTCCTTTATAAGTTCTGCTAGTAGAATACACAATGCAGAAAGTCCCATTTCAAGAGAATTTTTAACTATATTATCGATTGATCTATGAATGGGTACATAATTTTGATATGCATAGAACTAGATCACATTTGCTTCACCTGATTGTTGGTAAATCAGTGCTTCACTCTGCATCAAAAGACTCGCATTGGTGTTTTGCACCTAGCTATTAGTCACACAACAGTCGTTCTGACCATATGCCGATTCATTGATACTCGCAATGAACAATTATCCTATGCACGCATTCGTAGCAAAAACTTGATGTTGACAGTTGCAAAGATGGTATTTTGTTAACAGCTCTAATTTATTCATAAGAGAACTGATTTCGTGATAGTCAGACACATACATGGGGAACGTTGAACTAGTTATAAAAATATTAAGACAGACGTCATTGTAGTGC